TTCACCTGCACCCTACTCACACGACTGACCTTCCTGTGTACTTGACCCAGGCCCCAGCTAGTGATAGCTTGTCAAAGGGGCAGTGAGGGGCGTGTCCCTCGACTGGTTTCCCTCCTAACTAATGAGCCCAGCTGACATCAATTCCTCTGTACCTGGTAACCTCCCCTTCCCCCGGGAGCAAAGACTGCCCCATGTCCTGCCCTCCACGCCCCGCACACGGTGGGGTGTCCCTCCCGGACTTTGCTTCAGACCTGTAAGCTCCCCCACCCATTAAAACCCTGATGCCTCTGTTGCTGACTCTGGGCTCTTTCTTCGGCCTTGAAGCTGGGCAAGCATAGGCCCCGCAGGCCTGCAGGATGCAGCCCAACAAATGGAGGAGACTCCCGTGAGCGCCGAAATGTCGGGAATGGAAAGCTGCGGAGGCCGTCCACTAGCATGCGGGGCCCGAAAGCTGCGGGCGTAATCTCGGGGCAGGTGTCCACTAACACGTGGGCTCCAAAGTTGCGGGGAAATCCCAGGGTGGCTGTCCTTGCTGAGCGAGGGCTGCCGAGAGATCTGGAGAACAGTGCCCTCTAATGGCTCTGCTATTGTATCTAAGTGAGCCTTTTGTAATTGGTTAAGCTAGCTCTCTAGAAGGAACTGGTATTTCTCTTGTGCCTTTGAGAAGTAAATGATCTACCTAGGCTCCCGGGAACTTTCATCTTTTGTGATCTCTAAGAGTAAAGGAGAAAAAAGAGCCTCTAGGTAAACTCTACAGAAATAATTATGTTTTGGGAATGTCTATCTAAAATAGTCTCTCCAGATTTCGGTAACTTGGAAACTAAGTTAAAAGAAGAAAATTCATGGGTCATTTCAAATAGGATAAAATATTAGAACATTAATTGCTGGGTGGGTCTAAGCTTATCTACCTATGCCTGCTTAGGAGAGGAAGACTAAAGCATTAAATTTTCCAATCAGGAAATGCAGAATGACTTGCTTATTGGTTTTTGCCAGAGGTTATGGTTTTCAAGGGATAAAACTATAATCAGTCATAATTCTAGTTATTGTAACCAAGTTTATCGATTACATTGTAATCAGGTGTTTAACCATGACTTTTTAAGTCTTTCATCTTTTCTAGACAGTTATTGTTTTACTCTGATGCTTTTGCAAAAGTGCTTCATCTTCAAGAAGATTCACAGTTAAGCACATTTTGACAATAACAGGTCTCTGATAACCTTCAGAATATACTGCTGAACTGGGTAAGAAATTAAAGAATCCTAATGGAAAACCTGATGGCTTCATTAAAAGTTAACAGAAAGATTGCTTACTGAGTGAACTGGTCAATATGGTTATAATTTTTATGGGTTTTGTCTGGAATGTTCCTGGTTTGATCTGTTTTGCAGATAGAGGGAAACCCTTCCCCTCAAGCTGGTTATGACTTATAGCAACTGGGTAAATTACACCTGTGGGTAGAATTGAAACATTTTTCTTTTCTCTCTGCCTGGTCCCTCCAGAAATTGGGAACTCTAGGGTTCTGAGCAGCCTTATCAGATGAATGGGAAAGACCGTCTCCTGGCATGTACAGGAATCTCAATGTTTTAGGGACCGAGAAATCCATCGAGGCAGAGCCTGATGGCAGGCCTTTGGCACTGTTTTCCTGGCCCTGAGAGGCCTTTTGGGAATTCAGTCTGAGCCTCCTGAGGAGTTCCCCCTCAGCCAGTTTGGAGGAGCCTATGTGGTCAGCTGACCAGACTTATATTGCCAACAAATTAATTTTGATTGGCTGAGTTTGGTGAAGATGAGGGTAATTTTAGAGAGAACAATATTATGTTTCAGTGGATGTTAAATTCTAGTTCTGTTAATTGAGGTCTGTATTTATGAAAGTTATTGTGTTAGCCATACTTTTGCCCTGATGTTCTGGATTGAAAGAAAATGATCTAGTGAAACTGTCACAGAGTATAATCACTCATGAAGTACGACACTGCTTGCTTTAAGTCTGCTGCTAGAAGCACATGTACAATGCTTGTGTGACAATTGGGTATAATAAAATGTATAACCTATAAAGTGTTTCCCCCATTAACATACCTGAGCCTGTTCACGAGATCTGATTAGTTTTCCCACAATGTGAACGACTAGGTGAATATACAGGAGGCCTAGCACCCACATGATCTGAACCTGGGGTAGGAGAAAGCACCCCAGCATCTCCAGACAAATGTTTTGATCATCAGTGCTTTCTACTGGAAGATGTGCAATCAAAAGGGGAAATGATGGAAAAATCTGCACATACTGCAGTATGGGGAAGTCATTCCGGCTTATACATGGTTTAACTTAAACTTTACTGACCAGAGCAGCCTGTCTTTTGGCCTTTCAGACAGGCATTGTACATCTGCTTTGGCCATTGAGGAAGGGAATGCATTGGAAAGCCAAAACGGTTCAGACATCCAAGGTAAAACTAGGTGGCCATTGTATATACGATTTTAGACACGTTCTCCTATTACTGGAGAGTTTTCTGAACTGTATCTCAGATGTGGTTACTGCTCGTATTGTGCTAAATTGTCATGATCTCCCCTGCGTTGTGCCTGTTAGATGTCTTACATCGCGTCCCTAGCCTGAGCGAAGGAAATGAGTCTAGTTGCTGTGTGTCCAGCGAGATGCCGCTGCCGCCCTCCCTCAGGCTTCCATGAAAAATCGACCTGGCTAACGCGACTATGTGGGGACTACCGACCATGGGGGAAGACGACTCACCTCTTCTGGTCCCATGTGCCAGTACATCAGAAGGACCCCCGTCGGTAAACGTTACTGTACAACTGACTGCCTATGAGCCCCCCCTGGGCTACGCTGGGTGGAGTGGAATAGGCTGGCTTCTGGACACACAAGTCCAACTACTGGGATTAACTGCTTTTTGGTTAGAAAGACCTAATGGGTCCACCCCTCACTGCACCCAACATAACATGGGTGGCAGACCTGTACTGTGACTGCTGACTCCTGGCTAGGCCACCAGAATGTTCCCCTTAAAGCCGGGCCTTCCCCTCCCCATGGGGTGGCTCTGGGTTTGTGAAAACCAGACATGGCCTTACCTTCCTTATAACTGGACAGGGCAGTGCTGCCATTGACTCCCTCTCCATTGACCTTGTACGCACTTGGCTCCAAAATTTGCCCACATCATGGCAAATGACTGCTCTAAGCATACAGTTCTAGGTATCTTACTCATGATACTTTGGCCGTATTGTACTGTGGTGTCTGGTTGCAGTGTCCCCTACATACCTGACCCCAGGGATATCAAGGAAGATGAGCGGACCAAGACTGTAAGGGTCGTGCAGGGTACGCAGGGTGGAGGGTATGGCCAGGCCCCTCAGATGGCTGTTCTTTTGTTCTGTCCATCCCCTGCCCGGTCAGGGCCTGCTTCACCTACACCCTACTCACATGACTGCCCTTCCTCCGTCTTGCCCCAGGCCCCAGCTAGTGATAGCTTATCAAAGGGGTGGTGAGGGGCGTGCCCCTCGACTGGTTTCCCTCCTAACTAATGAGCCCAGCTGACATCAATTCCCCTGTACCTGGTAACCTCCCCTTCCCCCGGGAGCAAAGACTGCCCCATGTCCTGCCCTCCACGCCCCGCACACGGTGGGGTGTCCCTCCCGGACTTTGCTTCAGACCTGTAAGCTCCCCCACCCATTAAAACCCTGATGTCTCTGTTGCTGACTCTGGGCTCTTTCTTCCGCCTTGAAGCTGGGCAAGCACAGGCCCTGTAGGCCTGCAAGATGCAGCCCAACAATTGGAGGAGCAGTCAGGAGATGGAGGAAACTCCCGTGAGCGCCGAGATGTTGGGAATGGAGAGTTTTCACCTTATGCCACTAACAGTAACAAGTAGAATTTCTCCTAACTTCTCAACAACTCAATCTTCTGTCAGGCATGTTTCTCTGAGTACCCTGGGAATGGCCAGAGGGACTCAAACAAAACATTTTGTGTCTGGAGTCTCTCCTTGTTAACGGTGTCAGACAGATGATCAGTAAGCCAGCCTCTTCAGAAATGCCAGTCTAAATATTCCCAAGAAAGAGCAATTGGATTATTAGTGTGACTAACGAATCTTGCGACGGGACGTTTACTGCCACAGATCGAGCTTCTGCACAGGAGACTGGCCATCATCTCTCATCGTATGAAAATAGTTTTGTGGGGACTTTTTCTGACTCTGGTTTTCAGCTGCTCCTCCTATACTATATATTTTCTTCGTCTGCGGGGACCTAATTACAGTGCCTGGATGGTTTCTCTAATCCATCCACCTGCTGCATCTGATGCCATTCAGTAGGAAGTGTCTGGACACTGCAAACAAGATGTGTCTCACTTCTGACACTGACTGTGAACCTGAAGGATTCTGCGAATCAAAGCTCTGTGATGGGAATCCCTGTTGCAGGTACAGATGAGCAGTCCAGCCGTGCTGTTTCGAAGATTATATATCCTTATTCATTCATGATGTATGTTATCATAACAGATTCCCTTTCATCTTCTTTGTTCCAGGCATCATCCTTGGTGCTGTCACCATATCTTTGACTTCATCCTCACAGACCCCCTTGCGACAGGCAGATTTGTCTTCATTTTTCAGATGAGCAAAGTGAGGCTCAGGGGAGTAACATCATTTGCTTCAGGTAATGCAGTAGCAGGTGCTGGCGCTGGGTTAAACACGCTTGTCTGACAATAAGCTCGTGCTTTTTACCCGGCTGGATGGTGTCAATTCCTTTCATTTATTCATTCATTCATTCACTCATTCATCCCTCCATCTACCGACCAGGCATTGGAGAAGCACCTACAGAGCCTGGGTACAGGGAATTCAAACACACAATCTTACTTGAGCAGATCTACAAATGGAAATTATTGTGACCTCCGGTTGGAGATTTGGATTTTTATGAGACCCTATGCCCACCAGACAGAAACTGAGAATCAAAGTATTTGAGAGCAAATAAGCATCATCATCGCCCTCAGGCACACCGTGGGCGTGCCGCCCTCGCCCAGCACCCCAGCCCCCTTACCATCTCCGGTCTTGCCTGGGTTGGTGGGTTCAGGGGTACTCAGAGGCCTCAGGGGAATGATGATCTCATCCACATTAACCCCCTCTTCTGCGTGCTTCTCAGAAACGTGGGAGAGGAGTTCCGATTGACTTGGTGAGAAAAGGTTACAACATTTACACATGAAGATGGCTGGGTTTTCTGTAAGGAAAAAAAAAGCAAAATATGTTATTTCATCTTCACCAAAACAGTGACTACATCCAAATGCCAAAGAAAAATACTGAAGGTTGCTCTTCTGAGCAATCGCCAGGCACCAACAGGTGTGTCCCTCTGGTGGACACTGCACGGCCAGGCAGCTCACTTCTAACTTCAGGTGGCCCCGGTTGCCAGAAAATTCTTTCTTCAATATTCCAAAACCTCAGTCCTTCTGGACCGGGTCTAATATGGACCTCCCTGTTACCCTAATCCACTCAAGAGCCTAGGTTCGGGATTCACATAGCAAAGTAAGAAATGAATATGGAACTTGAAAACTAATGCAACCTTCAAATGAATGAACCACACTGACAACAATGAAGTATTCTAGTGAGACGCACTCAAATTAGGTGCAAGGAAAAAATGATCAAAACAGCACTTCTTAAGGGCCAAGCACCTTTCACTGGCGGGCACAGGAACTAAGAACAAGGAGAATGGGAAGCTGTTGCTTGCTTAAGCCATTTGATTCCTATTTAAAGCATTACCACCGTTCACAAGTATTTATTAACAGTCCATTATGGTTCATCCCATTATACTAGGCTGGAAAACATATGGGGAAAGCAACTCATTTTTGAGTCCAATAAAATAATTACAGGCACATATAGGAATATTAAATTTAGGACCCAATAACAAAAGCTAGATGGTTTTCCCACATTCACACTGAAAGGAAGAATTGGTATGATGGCTTTGAAGGTTCAATTTCCAACTCCAGACCCTAAATGCTGTAAGGCTGGATGCACTCGGAGAGGTAGTAATGATCTCTCGGCTGCAACACTGAACAGGAAATGCAGGTAACAAGGCTCCTCTGCAGTGGGAACCCAGGAGGCTCAGTAAGCCACGCCCTGATTCAGTGCAAGCCTCCCCCTACTCAGTGCTCTCGCCCGGCCGCTGTAACCGCTGAAAATCCACCCCACGCTGCCGGGCTCCCGACACGCACCACCGCCAGCCTCACGGGGACTGTTAACACGGACTCGTGCAAGGCGTCGAGGCCACCGACTCTGCCAATGGCGAACAAGTCTATCGCGCCTCTTCCTCCCTCCTCGGCCCCGTGCTCACAGCCAGCTGCCGACTGGCTTCCCATTTCACTGAAGGGGCCAGAAGGCGGTGCCAGAGCCTCCTGGAGCAGCCGCCCACCTGCCGCTCCTGCCGGGAGGAGAGGGCCCAGCAGCCGCACAGAAGGGGGCTGAATGCGGCGTGGTTCACCCCGGGGCAGGCAGAATGTCGAACACGTTCCAGCAGCTCGCGGAGGTGAGAGAAAGAAGACCAGCACGGAAACGCTGCTGATGCTTTCTCACTTTTACAACGCACCCTGAGCGCCTACACCTGGAAGACTGCTCGGCCGGCCCTCACCTGGGAAGGCACAGGACACAGGGCAACGCCGGGGCTTCCCTAGTGGCGCAGTGGTTGAGAGTCCGCCTGCCGATGCAGGGGACGCGGGTTCGTGCCCGGGTCCGGGAGGGTCCCACATGCTGCGGAGCGGCTGGGCCCGTGAGCCATGGCCGCTG